CCTTTACATGGCTCAGAGCCGTCGGCTGCTGGCCGCTGGGTGCGCGCCCGGCCCGTCGGCAGCGGCGGCGGTGCAGCGGCCCGGCCCGGCCGGCCGGCTCCAGACGCGGTGCGCCGCTCCGCGCAGCCGGCGCCGGCCAGGGGGCGCCACCGAGCACCCACCGACGCCGACGGGCCCGACACGGCCGGCCCGGGGCAGCCCCGCGTGCCCTCTGACCCCTGCAGGTCCACCGGCGGACCTGCCAGGCCCACCGACGACGGCGGATAACACGGGACCACCTGAAACCTCCGACCCATCTGGGTTCACCGGCGGCACAGCCCGAGCTGACCTATTCGTCACAGAACACCTCCTCCTTCTATGTTCCCTGAGTCTTCTGAGCAATGCAGCAGGCCTGTAGCACGTCACTCTCGTCGTCACTCAGCGTGTTTTCTTGTCGAAATGCGTTGAAAAAAATTCATTTAGAAATCAGTTTCGAAAGTATGACCTCAGTTCAAGGTCATGAGCTGGACCTGGTCGAAAAATATGATATAAAATGTATTTTAAAAAGTTTGTCATACAGCCGATGCTACGTGGGGCCTCTTCTGGAAATAATCGTGAAAAGCCTGAAGGCGCAGACAACACTGAAGAGTGATAATAGGCCCACCCAAAACCAGTTTAGCCGACGTGCATGCGTTTTCGGCAGTTACTTCAGAAGTAGGGGCAAGATACAGGTAAAAATACCTCGTCAATGCTTCTTCGATGCATGGATCATGTAGGCATGAATGAAATAAATCACGTATAATCAGTGGGTAACTGAATCCCCTCCATATTGGCATACTTATCTTTGCGCGCTGTCGTCTCCTTTGCTCAGCCGCATGGGTAATCGACTTTTGTGGTCACTTGATATTCTCATTTCCTCATTCGGCTAACTGAGCTCCGCAGTCAGTTAACATTTATGCATGCGTAAATGTAGTAGAATGAGGATTAAAACAATTATTTATACCAGTTGTCGTGTCTTTCTTCATTTTCATCCTGACGTAAGGGAACTTTGGGAACGAAGTCTTTGACGAATTCCGCGAGGAAGCAATTCGATGCATGTGCTGAACGTCTGACTTTGTCTGCACTTCTTCTGAAATGCATGCATGCTGTCGTCCAAATTAGGCATGAACATTGAACAAGCTGTATGCTCGAATACCCAACAAAAGTTCGAATCAACCATTTTGCGCGGTAGTCAATCCTCAGATGCATCATCTGCCCCGTCGTGATACGCCGAAAAGAATCAGTTCTCGTTTCTTCGAATCGTTTTTACATACGACTGATTCCACGACAAATCTTACCTGGTTGACTTACGTGGTTGGGCTCCTTTTGCGTCCGGGGAGGAAAATGGTGGAGAAAGTGAGAGAGGAAGGAACAAGGAACCCTGCATTTAACCCGCGCCCTGCTGGGGGGGGTGTTTGAACACCCCCCCTTGTGGTTTTTCGCGAATATCTCAAAAACGGCGGCGCGGAGCGCCGCCGTTTTTGGTACACCTTATCATACATCAATTCTACACATGTTGTGAACGTTTCAGACCAAGGTCATTCAAGGTCAGGTCACCAGGTCACTTGAAGTGACCTCACCTCATAAAAAGTTTCAATGTCTGTCATAGCTACACCGAGTGACCGATCGCTTTGAAACTTTCAGCGATTGCTAACAGCAATAGCATGTACAAAATGTATATCTCAGAATTTTGATATCGATGACCTAAGGTCAGGTCAATTTTGCGACCTCCCCATTATAAGTCAATGGGAGAAAATTGAAATGCGCCTCTTTTGGACGAAAGACATTATAAACACTCCCAAACACTGAATTACAAGTGGTGTAGACACACTGAACATGAAAATGGTGTCCGTGACCCTTGTTTATGCCCTGAGGTCATCTTAGGTCACGAATGGTATCTAACAGTTTTTCGTAAATAACTTTTGATACAGGCATGCTAGAGCGATGAAAACGCCTTAGATGTGTTCAGCTCGACAATACGGATCGACTGATATGCAACATGACCCTTTCCGGTCAGGTCATGACCTTGACCTGAGGTCAAATTTTCAAGTTGACCTTTCAAGGTCAAGTTATAGTTCATTCGATGCGTCTTGACGAGAGGAACACGATGCCGGTAAAAGTAAGCTCGTACAAGGCTTGGGTCAAAAGTTATTGCAGAAAAACTGTTTCCGAAAAAAATCGGCTATTTTTGCAGTTTTTGCCCCCTGCAGGCAAAACCGTTGACGTTAGGTCAAATCTGAGACAATTACTCAGAAAGGGCGTTAATAGGGCTATCGAATGCGCTTTACCGCGGCGCTGTAGCTCTATTGGTTCCCGAGTTATGCGTTGACTTCTTGGAAATTGTCGACATTCGACCTGGAAATCGGCGAAATTTTGCCTTCAATGACCTCTGGTGACCTGACCTTTGACCTGACCAAAAAATTGACCGAAGTAATTTCCTCATTATTTTTGTCGCTCTTTCGAACGCCGCCTTCCGCGTATCGCTACGTGGCCCAGGAGCCGAGTTAGAAGGGTGGGTGTTCAAACACCCCCCCCCCCAGCAGGGCGTGGAAATCCAGGACCCCCAGCCGGGCGCGGGTTAAGAGACGCGCCAGTCAGTAGGAAGTTTGTGCTGTAGATTATGCATGTACAAACTGACTGGAGAAGTGAGTCTCCTTCACAGATTTACAGGAAGTAATTACTAAATGCACAAAAGTTCAGCATGGAGAAAGGTTTGGAACTGTCCTAATTCTTAGTGTAGGTAGAGCTTTCACATTGGGTAAGAGTACAACGCATCATTGACATCGCGATCTAACATAGATTTAAACGTGTTGACATCGTGAGCACACACAGTTTGAGCGGGGAGGGCATTCCATACAGAAATACATCTTTGAGAGAACGAGCGCTTCCTAATGTCAGTGTTTATGGCAGAGGGAAATATTTTGTGGCAATGGCCTCGTGTACGATTCTGAGGCAATGTACCTCGTGTACGACAAATCGACAAATAAAAAATTAAATTTGCACCCACATATTTTATTTTTCGTTTAAAACTCGTCTATGGGGTTGTGATGGGCGGGGAAGCCAAAATTGGCAAGGATTTTTTCTTCGAACAACGGTTTCCGAGATATAGCCTCGGGCAATTCCTGGAGGTCACGCTGCAACCTTATGTTTGGCGGCTTATAACTCAGAAACTATTGGTTTTCTTTGATAAAAACTGTATATGGTTCAACTCGCAATCAACCAACGAACTATCTCGGATTTTCAATTTTTGACCATTTTGATCACGTGGCCTTTTGAGCTATTTTCGAAGAGTAACCTTGATATTTTCCCCACTGAAAGTTGCAATTTTGTCTGATGGCGATTAAAGCCTTACTATTTGTCATTCATATGCGATAATAAGAAAGTGGTTATCGGCCTGTGTTGACCTCATGTCAGGTCATTTTTATGACCTGTCCATTATTACGAGCGGGAGCGACAGCGAGATCTCGAGAACAAAGCAAGATAGCGACAAGCGGTAAACGGTACAGGGTATACACGGATAAGGTTTACAGCTTTTACTCTGCGGTCATTTTCAGGTCATGTGAAAGATGATATCACAGGGGTAAAAAGAAAGTCAAAATAGCGGCACTACATATATAGGAAGTTTTTCTCGAATAACTTTCAAAGTATTTCAGCTAGGAACAAACTAATAGCACTATCGTGATCCCCTCGTCGATCCGCATCGAAACATATGTATGTTGACCTCGAAAGGTCAAGGTCAAAAGTTGACCTAAGGTCACGTGACCTATAAAGGTCATCGTGTATATCATTCGATGCGCCTTGACGAGCTAAACACAGTGAGCCCATCTGCGCAGCTGAATCTCAAACCTGTAAGGAGTTATTAGCAAAAACCTTTGGTGACCTGACCTCACATGACCTTACAGTTGCCCAAGAGCAAAGAAAGTCTCAAGGTAGTCAAAGTTGATTGTATATGAAGTCACTCATGGTATATTAGGCAATTCCGGCGCGTTTTAGTTTAAAAATAATTGGGAGCTGATTTTTCCCCAATTGACTTATAATGGGGTGGTCAAGAATTTGACCTGACCTTAGGTCATCAATATCGAAATTCAAAGCAAATTTGCGCTAGGCCAAAGCAAACACAATGGTGCCTGTTCCACGTCTCTTTCTTTATTAGATCAAAAGGTACAGCCAAAAAAGGAAAATAATTGTCGTGTGTTCAATGGGTGACCTCGGATAACTTTCAGCAGGTCACTGATGCAAAGCTGCACCAGTGCCATCAATAATAGCCCAACTCAACATAATTCATAAGTATTTGAACCGGTCAGATGCGTTTCGGTGGTAGCCGATATTTCTACCATTGACTTATAAAAGGCAGGTCACAAAAATGACCTGACCTGTGTTCAACGCAGGCCGAAAACCACTTTTTTATTATCGCATATGAATTACAATTGATAAGGCTTTAATCGTCATCAGACAAAATTGCAACTTTCAGTGGGGAAAATATCAAGGTCACTCTAAAAAAAAAAATAGGCCAAGAGGTCAAGTGATCAAAATTTTCAAAAATTGAAAATCCGAGATAGCTAAAATGTTTGATGGTTGATTGAGAGATGAACCATATAAAGTTTTTATCATAGAAAACCTATAGTTTCTGAGTTATAAGCCGCCAAATATAGGGTTGCAGCGTGACCTCCAGGAATTGCCCGAGGCTATATCTCGGAAACCGTTGTTCGAAGAAAAAATCCTTGCCATAGCTGGCTTCCCCGCCCATCACAACCTATTTGACCAATAATAAGCAAAAAATAAAATATGAGGGTGCAGGGCACTTGTCGATTTGTCGTGGAATACGTCAGATTAATGCTGAAGCTTAAGGGTATGGAAGAAAAATAATGAAGAGTCTTACCATGAGCTAATTGATTCCCCATACCACATGCTATCAATTTATCGTCAGAAATTGAAACGCTGTATTGTTTCAACCAAGCGAACCGCCCACCGACACCACTTACCTTTGCCGGAGAGAGCTGGAGACCGCCCTGGAGACCGTGACCGCCCGCTTGCGGTTGTCTTCTGGCTCGAATCGCTGAAACACAGAAAAAACTAAGTAACATAATTGGCTTGCAAAGCCGAACACTTTCAGGGCGGCCCCTCTAACCGTTTCCACTGGTAGTTTATTTAGAAAAATATAGTAACAGCCGTTTTCACGACGGCCATCTGGTACATATTTGGTGCACATCTGGTGCAGATCAGGTGCAGATTTGGTCAAATCAGGTTCAGTGTGTCTCTTAGTAGCTGTCAGCTAGGGTTACATTAATTGCTTATATGCCTGCTTTGTCGTATTAACTTGTCGTCTCGCGGTTAGGTTACAACTTACAACTGTTACGAGTAGGTATCCATGTGAGGCAGTCTGAAGGGCCGCATGCTCATACAGCGCAGGCCAGTGTAAGCATCTCTATCTGGTCATGTTCCAGTCTCATCCAAACCTCAGACACATCTCGCCCCTACCACTGCTCGGCTGTGTGTCTTTCCCGTTTCCGTAGCGCAGGAATATGATATAGGTATATTTGCAAAGTCAGTTCAACTAGTTACACTTGTATCTAAGATCATACAAAAGAAGTTAAACTTTGTAATCAAAGTCCGCTTTGACTGTTAAAAACTATGAACGCTGAACAGTTAAGTGCTGAAACAATCGAGTGATGTTAGGGTGTTGACGCTTAGGTTGTTAGGTTGTTGACGCTCAGAAAGAGAGAGAGAGAGAGAGAGAGAGAGAGAGAGAGAGAGAGAGAGAGAGAGAGAGAGAGAGAGGGATAAAGAGAGAGAGAGAGAGAGAGAGAGAGAGAGAGAGAGAGAGAGAGAGAGAAAAAAAGAGGACAGACGTGCAGCCGATTCAATTAGCTGCTCTGTCTTACCTGGACTCATAAGCGTCCGGGGAAGGCGAATGAAGACTGGATGTCTCAGGAACCGTCAGACAGTTGGAGGTGGCTCCGTCACCTGTGGAATGAACAAAACATTTGAATTTTGCTGGCTTTTCTCAACAGGTCGCTGTTTTTTTTTAGTCGAAATTAAGCATTGATTATTTTGAAACTGCTTGTAGATGTGAATGTGATTACCTATATTGTTTAAGCTTGGAATATATGAGAAACTTTCCGTTATGTGACATGCTTTTTGTGAGTTAGGGCAACATTTAATAAAATACAATGTTTTACAGATTGTGCACTTTTATTGATAAATTGGTACATGTCTTTATGACCCCATTTATCTGTTTTGCGCAGCATGAACCGTAAATGCCTTTTGTGTTCTTGATTAGATTATAACTCCGCCCATACTCCGCCGGAGTCCAGCAAAGTGTGTCGAACGAGATCTGAGCCTGGTACGACAGCATAACATCGGTTCCATTCAAAATATGAAAACTCATCATGGATCGCGGTTGAAGATGAAGAAAGAAATATACCAGGGTGTTTTATAACTACGAGAATCACGTAGGATATCGAACTTAAAAGACCTAATGCTCGGGCGCAAATAAATGCCGATGCTCTGTATTAGCCGTTTTCACAACGGGTTATCCGTCGAATGCACCTAATTTGACCAAATCTGTACCTAATCTCTTTTACAGCAAATATCTTTATTTTATGAATTTATTTCAGTGTTTTAATGGATGATACTCACTGTTAATATGACAAAGCAGGCATATAAGCAATAAGCGCAACCCTAGCTGATAGCTACTAAGAGATACTGATACACTGAACCTAATTTGACCAAATCTGCACCTAAGCTGCACCAAATGTGCACCAAATGTGTACCAGATGCCGTCTTGAAAACGGCTAATGTGTGTCAATGACAAGCGTAGACCAATCTTGCAGACTTTGGCGTCGTCTCTCATGTTAGAAAAATACGTGAGATACGGGAGTCAATACGTGCTAGAAAAATTTGGCATAGGTGACTTGTTTGCTGACAAGTCACCGTGTCTCTAATCCGAGGCAGCTCACCGACTATTTTGCCGGTCTGTGACCTTTGAAGCCGCCGGGCCAGTGTCGCTGCGGTCTCGGGGTCGTCCGGCCCGGCCCGACCCGTCCGTGCCTACGATCCGTCCCGACCCGCCCTGCGACCGGGCCCGTCATCCCGGCGGCGTCTCTTCATTAGCCGGCCCTCCATCGACCGAGGTGGCCGTCGTTGGCCGCTCGATTCCATCTCATATTCAGCGTTATTAAGGTCCATCGGACGAGCGACAATTTTAGAAAGTGGCCACCATCGACCTTCAGATTGTAAGCTATTGCAAAAGTTACTAAAGAGCCCGGCCAGCCGGCCGCTCAGGTGGAGTGGAATCATCAGGGGCGCGGAGAGGAGGGGAGGGGAACGGGGTGGTCGGGCGGACGGTCGGTCCAGGCCTAAGGCTCGCTACATGATACCTGAGCCGGCCGCATCTGAGCAACAGACGACCACGATCCGCCGCGTGACGGGCCCTCCGACGGACCGACACAGGCCGTTGCCATGGCGACGTGAGAAACACGATCTCCGGGTCGGTGCGCTTCTAACCATCTGACCACTCCGTGAGCATGGCAAACACGGAACGGGACAGGGCTAAATATGGAGTGCTTACGTAACACGCAGAGTGGGCAATGGATAGGGAATGGATATGCTATTGCTTACTGCACAAATAGGCGCTCTCTACTTATGCGATTGAAATTTCATCACATTCAGCAAGCGCTGAAGAGCCGAAAGACTTCGAGCATCTGTACTTACGAGGTAATATAAAAAGATTCAGTCTAGGTAAACAGAAATCGGTCGTGCATTGACAATATTTTATAATAATAGCGAGGACTTGAACGGGGCTTAATAAAAAGCATAGCTGATTACACGAAAATTTGAAGATTTTAGGTACGATCACGGTATGAATGTTCGCAGCCAGATATGGTTCTAGCATGGATGAAAGAACCTTCATTCCATGTACGTCGTATTCCTTCATTCCTCGTATTCCTTCATCCATGGTTCTAGTTTTGCTCTGAGATTATTTGGTATTTGGACAGCTTGCCGAGATACTGCAATGAGTGGCGATAATAAAAGGTAACTGCCTAGAGAGCATGAGAGCATATAAAAAGAAACGTTGATATTGACTCGATTTTAGGATCCAGAAAGCAAAAACAGATACACATAGAACGTGACGAAAATGGTTTTGAAACACATGTCTCAGCTCGCTTGCCATAGATCCCGCATACCAAAGCAGCAAAGAGTAAAGAACAACATACTTTAAACATTTCGTTACACCCTATAGAACATTGCGCCCTTACTTAATGAAAGTATGCACGCGAAAAGGCTTGCCATGACATTGTCATTGACATAAGACTCAGTGACAAAGTGACATACCGTTGGCGAGTGGAGGGAGACGGCCGCCGGAGCGTCGTGAGATGATCCGTTTGCTCGGAGACAGGGTCATCTGTAACCAAAGGCATCGCTAACCAATAGTGTAACCAGAAGGTATCCATTTTCGTAACCAACGACGCGTCGCCTTGTTATTTAAAGGGACTATCCCACCTTTAACATGGGGTTT